AAAGCCTGCAGCCACTGCAAAGCTGCGTGTTGTTTGTGTCAAAGCAGTTTCTAAAAAGTCAAAACGATGTCTAAAGTTTGAGGCTTTTATCCTTTAACCCTATTTAATTTCACTGAACACTTGTCAGCTGTTAAATTAAGAAACTCCCAATAAAATAAACCCAAACAAAAAATGTGCACACCAGTTTTACTGCTGGTTTGTTTTTTGGTCCTTTGGGCCCCTAATCCAAAAACTGAACGCATATTTTGTTTCTGTTTGGATATTAAACATCGAATCCCTGCTAATGAAAATGTCCTACACACAGAGAAACTTTGTTGTAGTAAAATAACTCAAGACTCATCTTTGCAGCACCTCAGGGAATTCCCAGAAAGCCCAGAGGAGTGCTGAGACTGCACTTTGGGGCCATGTGAAACTTTTCCTAAATCAAAAATAGGGGTGAGGCTGCTCCTGAGGAAAGAAGCTGGTGGAGCTCTTGGAGAAAACCGACCCCATGGCCTCCACTGCACTCAAATGCCTGGCATACTTGAAAGGTTCTCAAAGCTCCCTGATCATCTTAACCATGACTTTGCATTCCACAAATGAATCAAACTTTTGTTTAAGTTCATGTAAAAGCAACATTTTGTGTAATATTTATTAGTATTTGTTATCATGTGTGTATACTCCTGTGCACAGACTGCATTCAGTCAACACAGTTTAAAAGGCTTTTGTGTTTAGTTTTGTGGCAGCACGTGTAGTGATTAGCAACCTGTGTGTGTCCCCCTGTTTCACCCCACAGTCCAAAGACATGCACGTTTAAACGGTGATGCTAATACAGCTGTGGGTGTGGATGTGTGGGTGTCTGACTCTGTGCACTGGCCCTGTAATTGACTGGTGACTGGATCTATTTTCAGTTGTTTTCCATGTCTTGGTGATTGTGTCTCTTTGTTTGTTTTGTATCGTTAATTTGTAACCTCTATTTTTATATATGTTGTCATTCAGGGATTGTTTTGTTTCTTTGTGGTTACTTTGTGTCACTATGGTGAGTCTGATAGTTTCAGATAGTTTCAATTTCAACAGTTTGAGTGTTTTACTTGTGTTTTTATATCACTGTGGGAACTGTGTCTGTCATTCTTTTGAGATTGTGTTTGTTTGTGGTCATTTGGGGTCTTTTTGTGATTGTTTTACACTTTTTGTCACCTTTTATGCCACTGTGGCCATAGTAACCGTCGCTGTTACTTTTTTGTGTCTTGGTGTTTCATTTGTCTCTTTTTGGTTGTTGTGTATCACTGTGGTAATCACGTGTGTCACTGTCTTTGTGATCGTTTTTGCCTCTTTGCTTATCCTTCTGCATTTCTATATTACAGTAGCAGCTGATCAGATGACCCCGTGTAATGTAAAAGGCATATTTCTATGTGCATTATGATGTGACTGCATTAATTAGTATCTTCTTTTATTTTGGGAAGATCACAAACTGTCAGGCACACTTCCTGATAACAAAACCTTTGTGGGGTGGACTCTTTTTATGAAAACCATAAAACCATTATGATAAAACTGAACCATTGAGCCATTTAAACACTGGGTGTGTAAACAGCTACCATTCAAAGACTAATTGTTATTCTTGTCTGTTTGCTCTTCTTTTAAATTAACATTGGCAGCCCTTAATGTGGCCGAATGAATGTTTGAGTTTTCATGCAGCATGACGGCGGCTGGGGGAGCGCCTCTCCTCAGGATAAGTCACAGAGGGGACTTCTGCTGAGATAACATGCCCCACCACACACCTGGTATCTCATGCCAGGCTGAGCAGCTGCTGTGTTTCCACACACGTTACCATGGATGTGGACTGCAAACACTGAAGTCTGTGGGGACCTCACTCACACTACACACACACACAGACATGTCCTCCATGCATCAGGGAACTGATCAAACAGTTAAACCACGACCATGCAGAGAACAACGACATCAGAAGGTTTGTCTTCACGTGTGGAGACGTTTCACCGACCAAATCTGCTTTACTGTGGCTGTAAAGCTCTTTCAGGCCACTGAGCCATAATTCACCTAAATCTGGGTCACTGAAAATACTTTGTGGAGAAAGCATTTGAGCCTTTTAGTACAGTAACAAAAAAAGTCAGTCAGTAAGGCCGATAATCCAAACAAGAGGCAGGCGAAGGGCAGTGTCCATAAACGGGTCACTTCCACGCATGAGAAAATCTAACAGGAACTAAAAATGAGCAACAAACAGGAAAATCTTACAGAAGAATTGTGCTGGAAAACACAAAAACAGTTTAAAAGCTTGATATTTGCAGAGTGCTGCTCAGGTGGAATAAATACTGGAATGACAAATGAGCTAATGCTACAAAGGTGTGACACAAAAGGGCAGAGCACAGCACAAAGGCTGTAAGAGAGCTGAATGAAGTGTTTGACAAACAGAGATTTCAAAATATCGCCCTGGAAAGCAACCGAGGTGCTTAGTCTGTGTAGATTCTCAGTCATCCAGGTCATGGAAGTCTTAAGAGCTTGAGAAAAGAAAGCAACTGGACTTCGTTGAGCTTGTAAAGATGTTTTGCCTCGCATCCACAGTTCAATTCAAAACAAAAGGTGGAGAGTCCCAGGTAGTCCCCTAGTGAGGGTTGTCCCCTTTGAAGGTTGTCCTGAGGGTCACCTTGCCCCAGATGAGCCAATAGGTCACATGATAGGGTGTGGTAAAGTCCCACGGTGGTTTCACCCTTAACCCCCTGTGATGAAAATAACCCATCCCTTTTTTACACCTTGGCTCATATGAGTCATGTGATCAGCAGTAGGTCAGCGACCCCTCAGGACCACCGAGTCCAGGTGTTCTCTTTTTTCAAGCTCTTAAGACAACCGAGACACTTTGCTCCTGTCTTCAAGTAAAAGGATCATTTGACTTTATTCTTAAAGCATTTTGTTAAAAACAAATCAGTGTGGATCATCTCCACTTCATTCAGAATGAAAAATATACAATCAGTCTGAATCAAATACCAGACAAATCACCAACAGCTGTGACATAATGCAAAATGTAAGGATACATTTCAGAGGACTAGAGGTCCCACTACACGGTCCCAAAAAGGGTTTTACATCAAGAAAAATCTCATGTTTATCCATTTAAACATAAATGAAAATCTTTTTATCTACACATGAATCCCCTGGAGAAATTTTGGATACTGCATTGTTTTATGTCTTCCAGTATAGCCTAGCAGTTAACAGACGGCCAGCTACTGAGATCATTTTGTCTGTCTCAGGAGCAACTGAGGCAAAAATTTTTAGACTCCAGTTTCCAGTTACACACTTCTTATTTTTAGGAGTTTCTTCTTAATCAAATTTCTGTTTTTAGCCTGAGGATCTCAACCTCCTGATCCTTGATCTTAAACTCCACTAAAACACAAGGCCAAACGGAGATGTGAAGTTAAATGGAAAATCTCCCCCTCCTTTGTTTGTTTAAATGGGCCCGCTCTTAATCCATAGAAGGAAAGAGATAACTGTGTGTGGGTAAAGTGCACAGTGCATTGAATAGAAGCTGTCTGGCCTGATTGGCCACATGCTTTCTGGTCAGTTGGTTCAGTGTGTTTACCTTTGTATGTAAAAGTGGTGCACGGCAGTAAAAGCCAGTAAAGATGAACCAGTGTTACAGTGACTACTTCTAAACCTAATCTAAATCTAATCTCTTCTTATTGTCAGAAACAGCTGATTTGTTTTTTAAATAAAGGTAAGTATACCTGAAGTACTCATCGCAGAAACAAGCTCCTCTGTGACTGATTATTTTAATATATGTGACATTAATGTGTGTGATTTCACCACTGTAGCTGTTGAAGACAGTAACTTTTACTAGTTTTATTTCAGTGCATGTCCATAATAATGTTCCACCACTAGGGATAAATGTATATATTTAAAAATAATTATGTTCTGCAGCATTCAGAATTTCACCAAGATAAGAACTTTATTCATCCAAAAAGGAAACGCTATGTGTATCCACTATCCCTCCTCTGCTGATGTCGACCATCTCAGCCTCGCCTCTCTAGCTTTGTTTCCAAACTGCTCAACCTGACCTGTCCCTTTGATGTATCCATGTCTAATCTTATCCATTCTGGTCATCTTCAGCTCTGCTGCCCCCAGCTGTTGTTTGGTCAGTGCCACAAACCGTACACCATAGCAAGCCTCACTACTATCTTGTAAACCTTCACTTTCACTTTTGTTGCTATTGTTCTGTCATAACTCAATCACTCCATCCTGCCTGTACTGTCTTCTTCACCTCTCTTGCACACTGTTCACTCATCCACTTCCACCTGTCTCCTTCTCATTCACACATATGTATTCTGGCTTCTCTTTTCAAAGTATACCTCCACCTCTCCAGGCTCTCTTCCACCTGGTCCCTTCTCTCACTATAGATCACAGTGTCATCTACAAGTATCACAGTCCACGGAAATTCCTGCCTGATGTCATTTCTCAACCTGTCACCAATGCAAACAAGAAGAGACTCATAGCCAATCCCTGATGTAATCTCACCCCCACCTTGAACCCATCTGTCATTCCTACCACACATCTTACCACTGTCCCTCTATATGTCCTGCCCCACCCTCACATACTTTTCTGCCACTCTTGAGTTGCTGTACCACGGCTTTCTCTGATTCACCAAAATGCAGTGAAGCTCCTGACCTTCTTTATACTTCTCCATCAACACTCTCAAGGCAAATATGGCATTTCTAGTGCGGTAAGTGATCAAACACTATAACTATAAAATGAATACTGTAGTATTAATAGTAATCATTCCGTCTAGTGAAGACAAATATTATTTTTGACTTTTAATGTGTGTCTTTAATATTTGTCTGGCTTTACTGCCGTTTCTGCTTTGTTTGTATTGTAGAATACTGACACCTGCTGGCCAGATGAGGGAAATATTTTTATGTCCCGCCCAAAAACCTAATCAATGCTTTCAATTGGTTTAAATTTTACAAAGCCCCCATTTAATTGGGTGATATGCTTTATATTGGCCAATCACCGCTGTTGTTTACAACCAGCCTCAAAAGGTCAGAGTTGAAAAATGGGAAGCAATGCAGCTTTAGCTGTCACAGCAGCTAACATGGTGGAAGTTGTAAACTCCAGGAAGGAACAGCTTAATTAAACATTCACTCTAGAAAATGAACCACACAGACGCATAACCGCCCGTCCTGCCCGACTCTGCGATGCTGTGTGCGGGTGTTAAAGCCGTGAGGTCGTCGGCGTCATTACGAAAGGTTGGTGGCTAAGCTAACGGTTCGTTTAACAGCTGATGATGTCCGTTGTGTTTTTAACACTGGAGTAACTTTACACGGTCACTCGTTTGGGTTGGGAAAGCCCCGGTGTCCCTCCCAGGAGAGCTGAAGGACGTTACTTGAGAAAGGGAGCTCTCCTTAGACTGCCGAACCGAGATAAGCGACACAAACTGGAGGGAGGCTGGAGAGAGGAATTCAGAGAGGCTGGAGGGATTTACAGACCAGGATCAAACCTTTGAACCCTGTAAAGAGCAGATAGGAAATGGAGAGCCTTGAGAATTCAGTCTACTATTATTATTATCATCATCCTTATTATTATTATTATTATTATTATATTATTATTATTGCATTATTATTGAGACCATACTAGGATCAAGAAGTTACAGCCCCGGGAACAAATGTTTGGTCCTGCTTGCATCGTCAGGCTTTTTTCCCTTTCTTCAGTAATTATACTCATATATGAAAGTGTACTTACTGTACATGTACACAGAATAGCTTGATTTTAACTTACTGAATCCACCACCATGCACAGTTTCACTAAAATCTTTACAGTGTCTTATAGAAAATGGACGATGGGGCTTTTATAACCCTATTTCTAATTTAAGTATCTTTACATACACACACCTGAAATATGAAGAGATTATTAATGCTTAATATTTATAGTATTATTATTATTATCATTAGTATTTAAGAGACTAAAATGTAAAGACAGATTGATGTGTCCTCACCATGTTTCACATGATTTTCACTGGTCCTCTCACTGTCCTCAGCAGTTATGGACGAGTCATCTTCACAGCGGGATTGTTCACCACCTCCCTGCAGGACCAGATTCGCCTGCTGCTCCTCCTGTTCTGACGGACTGTTCTGAGCCCGCCGACACAGAGCAAAAGCGTGACTCCATCTCCACTTGGACCCCCGCCCAGGGTCCCCCGCCGCCTCCTACGCACTGCTGCATGAGTGGCTGTCATAACTGCGTGTGGATCGAACACGCAGAGCAGCTGCTGGAGTACTACAACGATGGAAGCGAGCGGGCGCTCGCTGCTATTGAGGAGAACGTCCTCGATGAGAACCTTAAAACTTACCTGAAGATGGAGATCAGACTCTTAAAAAAGACGTGACCGTCGCAGCCAGTGGCATTGACCGCAGTGCTGCCAGAAACCCTTCACAGGCTGAGATTTTACAGCACACAGTGTACCTCCACATTTTCACCCCTCCTTCATCCTGTGGGGCCCACAGTATATGTCTCATTTTAGAAAGCTGGCAGACGTTAACAGATAAGACTTTGGGTCTTTGGTGGTCATTGTTATGTTGCACTTATCTAATATTTGCTTCTAAAAAGCAAGGGGGGAAGAGTCGCCATCTGGCAGGTTGCTGGAAATCATAAATATTCAGAATAAAAATACTCTTTGATTTTTACTGGAATCTGTTCAGACCTGCTTTGGCCTTTATTTCATTTAGACAGTGCAGATCTGTCAGGATGTCAAGAAATCTCAACCATGAAAGAAAAAACACAAACACTTACATTTGCAGAAGCTTATTAGGATTATCAAACTACTACATTTGAAAATGAAAGCAACTCATTGTAAAAGAGTTGAGTCAGGAAGTCTTTCTCCAAACTTCGAGTGTTTTTAAGTTATCTAAGGTTACAGCTTCCTCTGAGGCTCCACAGTGTGCAGAGAACAGATGCCAGTCGGACCCTTTTAGATCTTGACATGCTTGTTTTTTTCTTAAGGAAGTAGTTCATGAAAGTCACAGTGTGAAATGTTCTTTTTCTGTTAGAACCTTGTTTGTTGGTCCAGTTCAGATGTTACTGATGGGGGCGTTCTGTTGCAAAACTACAGAATCATGAACCTGGACTACAAACAGGTCCTCTTAGATTTCTTTGCTGGTCGTGCAGGCTGACCAAAGACAATCCAGTGAAAATAGCACTTTATTACCAAATATTTGTAATAGGAAATGTTATTCTCTCTGCTGTCTACTCATACTCAGCGCAAGATTTTCTTATGTGGGTCATATGAGTTGTTGGAAGGTATTATTTCTTTTAATAAAGTGTGTCTTCTGTTAAAGGAGGTGATGAAGTATTAAAGCACATTTCCTTAGTATTTGGAGAATTCAGTGAGGTCTGATTATTGAGGTCTCACTCAGATAAAAAGCTGCCACAACTTTAGTTTCCAACAGTTAAAGTTGTGCACAGACACAGCCAGTGGTCTGCTTATAAAGCATAACATTGCATCATAACACAGTCCAACGATTCTCTACATGAAAGACCATCGTTACTGTGAATAAACATAAAACAAACTAGTCCAGTGAAGAAATAAATAGCTCGAGCTTTCAGGGTCTGGAACTGCAGCTTTTTGAAGGTGTGATGAGTTTTTGTCCCTTTCTAGTGGATGTTTGCAAGTAATAGTTATAATGTGCACAGCATCATGAGCTGACAAGAGGAGCAATGCTTTAAACTTGAGGGATGTCTGAATTGTTGTCACGTGCTGTTTGGCGTTTGATTGGTTTGCATTGTGTCTTTGCAGCATTTGCACATTTGAAGCATCCGAACAACACTTTGGCTCTCTGTATTTGACTTTATTTAAATCATATTAGAAATTAGTTTTAATCCAATGCTTGTTAAATAAATATTTTTTATTTACTGTCAGATTCAGAGTGCTTTATTTTTATGCCGAGAATTGGTGCACACAAGCACACGTGCAAGTTCAAGCCTGAAAAACTTTAATAGCCTCTGTAGCCACTAGGAGGAGCTACATATGCATAAAACTGTCTGCTGTACTGCAAAAATGATATGTATGACGACCTAACTTGTTTATTTCATCATCATATATTTTTATCCAACCAGCTCCAAGTGTTGTTTATATTCTGATGTGATTATAGTCCGAATATTTAATAAACACAAAATCTTTGTGGCTTCAGGAAATTAAACTTTGTTCTTAATTGATATTTACAGTAAGTATGTAAAACACTGCATTGTTCTCATGATGTTAATGAGATTTAGATCCCTTCTTAGGTAATAATGACTGGTTGTGTCAGAGAAGAAGCCGATCACGTTCGGTCCTGCCACCTTGATGACGTCTTTAGTTAGCCTTCTCCCAGTCCCTCTGGACCAGTATCTGAGGTGACCCTGATCTGACTGAGTCAGCATTAGTCCTGATTACTCAAGGTTCAGTGCTGCAGCCAGCCATACAGCGTGCAGAGTTATGCTTTGATCTAGGTTATGCAGCGGATTAAGAATGAGACGTTTCACTGATCATATGTAGAGCAATGACTCTGACGTGATGGAAAACGTTCAAGACAGATTATTGGCTGATGCCAAGGCTGCAACATGCCACTTTGCATCATCGCAGTGGGGAACGTTCTGTGAACAGTAAGCTGCGAGAAGTCACGAGTTAGCGCTAAACAGTTTTCTTGTTTCAGTTTCTTTCAAACTGGCATAAAATTGGACCTTTCTGTAGTTTAATAAACGCAGACTGCCTGTAGCTCAAGAACTCATCGAGAATGATTTACGCACCAAACGTAGTCAGATTCACGGGTGTGGGTGGAAAACATTCTAGTTAAACTTGTCAGTCATAAAACTGATAACTTGAAAGAATTAAATGTTAACTGCAGATGACTTCAAATCAATGTTCCCTCTAAGCTGCGCGCGCGCGCAATTGCGCATTGCTGGCACGGTCTCTGCGCACAGAAAATCTGCGCTGCGCACAAAAAAGTCTAACCTGAATTGAAATTAAAATTAAAACTTTAACAATTCTGTTTTGCAGTGTTAGTCAGTAAGTGACTGGCTGCTCCCGTATGGGATTAGAACGATGCCACCTTATCCCATAGTCCAGCCAATGATGCGATTCACATTCATATATAATCAACGTGGTTGACAGGCTATGACAGCGTCCTTATGTGCCGACATCGGTGTTTTAGCTAGCAAAGCGGCTGATGTGGAGTGAAGCCATGTTAATGACAACGTGTACAACCACTGGAGATGTGAGCAGGACAGATGGAACAACTGACGGGAAAAGTGTGGACTTTATACCAGTTTTTAAATTGTGTTGATCGGCCACGTAAAACCAGAGTTATGATAAAAATATCTGCAATGTTTGGTTTTCTTCCTGAATACTGTCGTTGTTTATATTTACTGTGCGAAGAAACGGTAAAAACGGCGTTTAATAAGGAAAACCTCTCCGCCTGTGAGCAAACCCCTCCCCAGCCTGCTTTTCTATTGGTGGAAAAATGTACCATGTCGACCAATCAAAAATTGATATGGCAACATGGCATTTAGTTGTTTAGGTAGGGGGAAGTTTTAGGAGTGACCGACATGTGAGAGATTCGCAACGTTTAGCGCAAATAGTGTGTAGTTAGTGTGTAGTGTAGTCAGTAGTGTTGTGTGTGTCAGAACAATGAGGCGACTGCTGAGTGTTACAGGTGTTACAGCAGTGATACATCTGCTGCTGTCAGGCCTGCAGGTATCAGGCTGTTGTTCTCCTTCATCTCATAGTGGACAGAAATTATTTTTAGGAGCGGCACAAATAATTTGTGTGGCATCAAATTTGATGCTGAACAGCTGATTGTTCTGTAAATAGTTTGAAATGTTTATTTAAAAAACGCCTTGGCTTTGCAAAACTCAGTTACTTTTTTGAAGAAGTAACTATATAATTAATTGCCCAACATTGGTCATTATATACTGTATTTTCCAGACAGAGAGTTACAGACTCTCTCCCAGACCACAGACAGTCTGTGGTCTGGGAGAGAGTATTATAATACAAGTCAGAGCTTTATTAAGAAAGAAAGAAAGAAAGAAAGAAAGAAAGAAAGAAAGAAAGAAAGTTGTGTTTTCAAAATTGGAGTTGAAGTTATTTTTCCTTCCAATAGTGTTAACATGCTACACAGGTCATGAACAAGGTTTTTAAAATTTTTCATTGTAAGTGGGCTAAAGCAGTTAATTAAAAGTCGTCTAACATAAATGTAAATGCTGTAATGTAACTTGGATGGATTGGATGCTGGCGTGACCACAGTGCACACGTCTGCTGTTGCTCACAGTGGTCCAAGGGACGCTCAGGGAGTTTGTGTGTTCGCTCAGACACATGAAAAATTAGAGGGAACATTGTTTTAAATGTATAAAACTGTGTCGTCTACAAAGAAAAGAAAGAAATGTGCCAAGAACAGGGCCCCGCCGAACTCCATCAACAATCACTTTTCTTAAAGGATCCTAAAATCAAGCTAATATTGAAACAAAGAGGAAGGATTATCTGAGTCATTGTGATTCTTTTTTCATTAATTTTTACATTTAGATTTGTTTTTTCTTTAAAGCCACAAAAAGATATGAATCAAGGAGTTTGAGACCAGAACAGGGTCTAGAGAACGTGGCCAGTACTTCTTCCACATTAGTGTCTTCAAATCTAGAGTTGAAGTAAAATCCTTCTCCTCACATGCAACATCTGATCCCATCACATGTTAAAAATCGTATAGCCCTTTTATCCCAACAGAGCACTTCCCTCTCAGAGTGCAGGATTACTTGTGGCTCCAGGTGTTTTTAAAAGTAGAACAGGAGGCAGAGCTTTCAGCTTTCAGGCTCCACTTCTTTGGAACCAGCTCCCAGTTTGGGTTCAGTCAGACACCCTCTTTACTTTTAAGATTAGGGTTTAAACTTTCCTTTTTGATAAAACTTCTAGGGCTGGACCATTTGACCCTGAACCATCCTTTAGCTTAGGCTGCTGAGGGATTTCCCATGATGTACTTCTGAATCTGTTTCTTCTCAATTTGCCTCTTTTCACTCCAGATATACATGTATATACCCTGACTCCACGTATTAACATTTGTCTTCTCTCTCTTGTAGTTTGTTATTTGTCCTGTTTACTTGCTCTCATTTTTTCTTTTGTCTTTTTCTTATTGTTTATTAAATTTTCACTTAAACTTACATGCAATGTTTTGCAGGTTTTGTTTAAAGCTGAAGGTCAAATGAGTGAAGAATTTCTCTAACAGTGCTTTGTGATGGATGGTTCTAGTTCAATTATTTAAAAGAAAACCGAGCTGCTGTTTGGGATGTCTCCACATGTTCAGTGTGTCTCTAGCATGTAGATAGGAGCTGCTGATGTTGGCTTAGTCCCCTGTTTAATGGAGAGTACTCCCACTGCAGGGTGTTACAGTGATACACACAGACAATGTAAAATATTTCTGTGGGTTGGAGGATTGGAGGGTTTCACCTTAAGCAGATGGAGAGATTGCATAACAAAGATGGAGTGGGACTGTGGGGCTTTCAGGAAGCTTCCAGCTTCATCTATAATCTGTTTGAACATATTGTAAGCTGTGTGATCTCATCCTGCATCCTACTGACTCAAATCACTAATTTAATCAGCATTAGGATTTCTAAAGACATTTCTGGAAAACTTCATTACAAATACTATAAAATACATAAAGATAATGTTTATATGGCAAACTGCATTTATCACAGAGCATCTTTCTTCCATAATCTATCATTTCCAAAGTGATTCTGGAAGAAATCCTCAGATCCTACTGATGCTTAGAGCGCAGCATCAACCATTTATTTACAGATGAAATGTGTTTAATTAGCTCATTAAACAAAACTGTGAGACTGTTAGACAAACGCTGCTCTAAAAATAACTTCAACTAAGAAACTATGCAAATAATACATTTAAGTTGAAACTAGTTTTTAAAAATCCTAGTATTAATTTACAAGAAAAGAAAATTAAGTAATTTACTCTAATGATACAAATGCCTTTATCATTTTAAGCCATTTAGTGAGGTGCAAGCAAAAATCCTGCATCGGGACTGCAACAATTTTCCTAATTTGATCAATTTGCTGATATTCTGTCCTATTAACTGCTATTTTTCTCCAGCTATATAAGGGACACTTTTCTTATTTAACCTAATCCAAAATCCCAAACAGCATCCATCGTTGCACACTGTTTGGCTCTGGTGGAAAAGGGAAAGCAGCTGGTTTTCACTCATTACTTGATCAGGTTTAAGCAACGAAAGTTTAGGAGGTGCAGGAGGAGACTGTGGCCTGGGTTTAAATCATGGACGTAGCCACAGTAACGTGACCCATCGCCAGCTTTAATAGCATCACAGGGTTTTGGGAACCAGGTGTTACTATAGAGGGACATGCTAAGTTGTCAGCTACATTTGCCTGCTGTCTTAAAATATACAGGTGCAGTGCACTGTTCCTAAGTAACAGGTAGAGCTGGGCGATATGAGATTTTTTCATATCACGATATGTTTTTTTCATTTCAGGCGATAACGATATCTATCACGATATCAGCCAAATAACTATATTTGTAAGATTTAAATGTGCCGTTGCTCACAAGTAAAATGTGAAATAATCAGCAGCTTGTTTTTATTTAAATATTTATTTCCCATAATAAGTTCAACAGGGTAGATGTACTTAAGGAACATGAGACTTTTTCAGATAAATAAAGGCAAATATTGCAAACTACACAAAAGGCAGCCGCTAAAGCGTTTAAGTTTCAAAATAGAACAAACAAAACAGACTAAATTGTCAATTCCACTTAGAAACAAAATATTAATTCTAAAAATAAATCTTAGTTTGTTTTACAGAAGAACAGACAAAACTGACTAACTTTTGTCAATATCAAATAAACTGAGAACTAAAAGGAAATTCTCAATCTCTCCTTG